TTTCGCCTGGAACCTTCTCTTCACCAAGCTAAACAAGCCAAACTCCCTCAGCCTTTATTCCTAAGAGAGGTGCTTCAGCCCGAGCATTTGTGGCCCTCCTCTGGACCCACTCCAACAACTCTACAGCTTTCTTGTGCTGGGGGTCCCAGGTCTAGATGAAGTACTCCAGATGCAGTCTCAGAAAGGCAGGGTAGAGGGAGACAATCACCTCCCTTACTCTGCTGGCCATCCATCTTTCAATGAAACCTCTGTCAGAACAGTCCAAGGAGATGACTTCACCTGCATAGCAGAAATAATGACCATCTTAGCATACTACAAAGGAAGTATTTTTGTCAAGGTAGTCATAAGGCATGGCACGGATACTGGAGGAAGCCCCTCAGAAAGAGGGTTGGCTTATTTCTTAATGAAAATTAATCTACTTGCCATTACCACATGCTGAAATGTAATGGCATCCATCGATCACGGCAGGAAGGATGATGTATTTGTCTCTCTGCAGACAACACACACACACTTTTCATCTTGCTAGAGTATTAAGTTAATAGAGTTGGTAGCTTTTCCCTCACTTAGTTAACCACATTAAAATACTGAGGAAGGCATTTATATTCTGTCAACAAAATTGAGAGGTTAATAGGAGCAGTACGAAACAGCTAGTGACCTAAATTCATCTCAGTGCAATCTCATTACTTCAATGCTGTCATTTTTTTTCCTTGCCAGCTAAGTTGTAGCCTCATTTCCTATATTGTTCTCAGCCTAATCTTGCGTTGTCACAGAGGCAGAGATTTCAAACTACACTGCATTTTTGTAGTCATGCTTACAGTTTGTTACATAGCATGTTCTAAAGCAAGTCACAATTTATCTCTAAATACCCGTGAAGTGTCCCCAAAGGCCTGTGTATTTTAACTTCGTATTGCCAACACAAACTCAGTGGAAGGATGAAAAGGAAAGGAAGGTTCCACAATGGAAGAGGTTTATTTTAAACCTATGTTAAGCTGCCACCAGGCCTGTCTAAATATAGATTTGTCTACAGTAAACACCCTTAGTCTGCATTTAGTGCAGACATGCGGAGTTCTTCAGGAACAGCAAGGAGGCTTTGCATTCACACCCAGGCCCAAGATAATCATAACCGATGTCCAATGAAAGTTTGTAAGCATGTTTTTGTATGTAGGGAGTAACAATAACCAAGAAAAGCTTACCTCTACTGTTGGCCTTGTGCCTTTGTCATCTGAGCTTTGGGAAGCTCCATGAAGGCTCTCAAGATGAGTAGCATGCTCACCAAGGGGCTTCAGCTTTCTAGACCAGTTCTTCAAGTCAGCTCAGTTTGCAAAGAACAGGTAAGTGGGGTCTGTGCAGACACGTTCCTTGAGCTTCTGCAGTGGCTTGCATATCCCCAGGCAGGAGGCAGCTTGTGCTGGACACGTGTTGGTCCTGGCTCTGCCCAGTCAGAAATCCTGCCACTTCTGCCTGGGGTTCCTGCTAACTCCTACCTCCTGTCCTCCACTTGCTAATACTTGCTTTAGCTCTGGCTTGCTAATCCTTGTATTCAGCTAAATATTCAACTATACTGAAATCATCTATATCAAGTACCAGCAAGTAGCCACATCTGTGAAGAGCTTGGACAATGTACTGTCACTAAATTAGCTTAAAAGTTATATGCTCTGACAACTGCAGTGTAAACATAACTGGTTCTACCACAGTACTGATACTCTCTCCAAGCTTGCATTAACTGTACAGCAGTGACTGTGAAGAGAATTGGAAACCTCTGTGTGTTTTCTTGATCAGAGCCAATCATTTTATTCATAGAATACCTTTCTAAGTAGAAAAGGTACAAATATGAACAAGCATATTTTCACTGAAACAGCCTAGAGACTCCTTTGTACTCTGTAAACCAGGCATAAATGTGTAACTACATTTATGATAAACTTCATTTGACTTTTCAGCTTTGCTACCGGACTACTAGATCAGGACTGATTTGCAGGCTGTATTTTAGCAGACTAGCAGATCTGCCAAGATTGAGTACTGTGCTGTTGTGCTGACTCAGAGACAGAGCTGTGCAGTGTCAGCACCTGGGATGGTTCCAGACCTCAATGTAATATGAGTGTTCAGCTCTGAGGTGCATCACCTACCAATGAAATCACGTAACGAGATCTATCTTTGAAACCTTCACAATCTGGTTTGAGGTAGAATATTTCAACTTGTCCAACAACTAGTGAAACAAGTAGACAAAGTAGAAAACAAAACTGTCATTAGCACATATGCATGTTGCATACTCATTTCTGTCCTGAAAACAAGCTGATGAAGGTTTTTGCTTTGCAGCAGCTACCAATGCAACATATCCACAGAACGAGTTCTGACCAGATCTGTACAATACTCCTCTCTCACAAATAACACTCCTTATACAACATCACCTGGCCAGTACAACTTAAGTCTTATGGACCACCTGCTGCCCCTGCAAATCAAGCAGCAAATGCAACAAGAATCATGTGGAAGTACCAGTATCATTTAAATTAACAGCTCTCCAGAATGCATCAATGTTCAGGAACAGTCATCCATTTTGAGGGAGGAAGGAAAAAATTCTTCATAGCACCTGAGTTTTCAACAGCTGGTGTTAACACTTATCCTTATCTCACAAGGAATGATCCTAAGACTTATTGGTACCACAGGCCAAAAAAAAGAGATGTGTGTGAGGAAAAAGAAAACACCCCCTCTAGGAATAAGAAAGGCAAATACGGTGCTTTGGTATCCTTTAAGCTATAAAATCTCTGCACTCAGAGGATGAAACAAGCTGTGGAATATGCATATCAGCAAGGCAAAGGTAAACCTTCTGGCAGTGCACTTCAGATTAGGCAATGCCAAAGCAGAAGCTTCCCACCTTGAAAGTGAGATTAGGAGGGGCAGGCAGAAAGACCAGCTCACTGATGCCAGTCTCAGAAAATCCAGTGCCATTATATACGTAAAGAGAGTTCCAAATGACTGATTTAGATGTCATTCAGACACTGCTGAACAGAGAAGCGAAATACACTCCTGTAAATATAAATGGATTTTGCCTCGGTAATTTCATAACATTTTGACATACAGTCTACATTCATTTGCAGGATTTCTGACTTTGATCTTCTTATGATAGATGTTAAGATCTGATAAGCTTTTGTCCAAAAAGTTACATGTGAGTCATGATCTAATTTTTAAGACACAGCCTGAAGTCTCTACCTTGAATTCACAACATTTTGGAGCAAATTTGTTTTTCCCCAAAGCAAAAGCATGCATTTAATACACACACAAAAAAAGACCACTTTCAGAGGAAAGCTTCTTGAAAGGGTTGCACTGCCAAGTATGCAACAGGAAACAGAGTCCCACCTTGAAGTGCACAACACATGCTTGTAACAATGCCATGAGACTGAGGGCTAAGCCATGGTTCTGCAGGGGCGTGCATTTTGGGGATAATTCAAGCAGGCTTTTAAAGATCTTCTAAAGCATTATAAAGCCCATCTGTTCTTATCTGTTCCTCATCCTCAGAATGTGAATCTCTGTAACCATACTTAATCCATACAGACCTTGCTGATTTGCTCTGTAAATTGTTTTTAAATTGTTTTAATTCGTGTCACATAATACTAAAAAAAACCTCCTCATATACTTCATGCATTTGAGCAATACTTTCTAAGGACTGTTAATGTGCACTGAAATAAGTACACAGTTATCCAGTTTTTTTACACTGTTGATTCAGCTAACGGATAACATACACAGAAATGGGCACAGAAAGAATGTTATAATCCCATATTAAATCGTACATGCATTTGCTTATCATGGAGCCCAGAGAAAGATTATTCCATACCAATTGAGGCACACAGTAATAAACTACAAGAATTTCTATTTTCAAATATCCAGTATTATCAGTGCCATAAGTAATGAGGAACTGCCTTATCTTTTTCACGACATTTAATTAGCGTTGACTGGTGGTATCACTGTGTAAGAACTTTGAAGAAACTCAAGTTTTAGTACATCACTCTACAAGCAAGCCTTAACTTACGTTAGGTATGTGACATATAGAGCAGCCAGAAAAAGTATCATCAGATTACCACGACAAACAGGTGTTTTGAATGAGTATTGGTTAGAAAATTTGAGCTTAGAGTAAACTGGTCAGCTTCTTCTCTCTACTGGTGAGTCTCATCTTAGAGTAAGGTTATTTCTCCATTGATTTATGTGACCTATTTTTAGTTACTGAGAAGGTCCTCAGAAGAGACACAAGTATCTGCAAGGATATTAAAGGGATTTGAGAGGCAAAAAAACCCATTCTCTTGCGGGGGGAAAAGGTTATTCTTGTTTGGATATACTTATGTATTTTGGAAATATGTGAGACACTGAAGAAAGTTTGTTTTCAAAATCTCTACACAGACTTAGAATTTATTTTTAAGACATAGCATTCCCACACAGTTAATGTTCATGAACTGACACATGTTACTTCTTCCTCTTTCCTCTGCACTGGATAATCATTAAAAGAAGTATCTACGGTTATAGTTTGCCCAAAAGTTCAATTGACATTGACTTAATATGTAATTAGATTGCATCTGAAGTACAGGTCTTCATACAAAATGCCATTGCTTCATATTGCAGTTTATTTATTTATTTTTTTTAAACAAACACCAGTGAGGAAAACAATCTCAGAGCAGATCTACCCCAGTCAAAAGACTTAAAGTAAAACAGGTGAAGAAATATGAATTTAGTAAGTAAGTAATATGAACTTGAGTAAGCTGACAGCGAATTAAGCCTGCAATCCCAGAACATTGTTATTTTTTTAAAAATAAGAGTAGATAATGAGTATAATGTATAATTAGTATAATATATATATATAATAGTATAATATATATATATATAATATATATATATATATATAATATATAGTATAATGAGTAGAACACTTGAGAAGGGGCTAAGAAAAAACCTTTTGCTGATCCATTGCTCTTCACTGAGACCTCCCCCAACCTAACCCTAAGGCTGGTATGGGAAAGCAGAAGAGAACATGTTAGGTTTTTATTGCTTGTTCTACTTTTGGGGATTGGCTGTGGAGGAAGAAAGTAAACCCTGATTATCACGAGGGCAACTTTAGTATCAGTGGACAGATAAGGAGAAAGCAGCATGTTGGCCCCTTTTGCCCCACAGGAATGACGTTGCCTTGCCTTTCACTGAAATCTGAGATCTGAACCTGGAAGGAAGCGCTCAGTTTAGAAATTGCCGTGAATTTTTCAGGAAGGTGTAGAAGACTTCAAAGTTAATTTTGAAATCTGCTGATCCATTTGGAATTTGCAACCAAACTCAGTTCTCATTTCTACTTGTCTAGTTCCCAAGCTATTTTACAACTGCTATTTCACCAGTATGAACAACAGCTGACCCACAATATCTAGGTAAGTCCTAATTTCTGCTATCAATAAATCCTAGTATTTTGGGAATCAAATATTCATTGATGTCTGCTCAATTACATCTAAAAAGATTCCTTGCCATAATACATTTAAATAATATCAGGTAGGTGACAGTGCTGTAAAATAAGCAAACCACTACAAACTCCTTCCCAGAACAGTTTATTAAGAAGGAATCTGGAAGACAAGGAGAAAACAGAAAAATGAGAGCACTGAAGTTGTTCTGTCAGCAGCTAATATGGCTACTAATATACTACTAATATACTAATATACTACTAATATAGGCTACTATGAAATGACAGTTAAGTTTGGCAGTTTCAGTATCATTTATAAGAAAAAAAATCACTGAAACACAGTTCTGCAGTAGTAAAAGGAAGCTGCCCCAGCAAGTATAGGAGACTGCTAAAAGGCGGTATGGACAAAAGATTCAGACCTGCATGAGAAGCAAGCAGCAAAAGATCAAAGAAGAAAAGGGGAAATAAACCTGGTAGCATGTTAAAAAAAAACAAAAGAACTTCTAAAGAAGTGAAACTTGTAGCCTGACAGACTCTCAGTCATGATCAGTTCAATCAGTGCACTGTTTATCCAGCACTTCACAGCTTTTCCCAGCATACTTACAGTAAATTGTATCACTATCATCAGACATCCTGTCTAGCCAAATACTGGGAATCTTTGGGAAATTACTTTCCTTTCATTTTTAAAAATATATAACCTGGGAAAATGGAGATGCCTTGTTTGGCTTGACACATCCTGAAACTAAGAGTATGTTTCAGAGTAAGAATATTATTCAGAATATTTCAACAGTGAAATGGAAATACTTAAGGAAAAACAAAACAGAACAAAACAAAATAAACACAAAAAATCCACAACTATTAATTCCAGCAAAAAGGTCAATTTCCTCTTCAAAAACGAGCTGGATTCCCCACTCGCTGGGTTTTTAAGCAGTGTAAAGGAACTTACTCTGTTCACATTGTGCCCTGTCCTCCCGTTATCCATCTGGCACACCCAAACTGCTGTCACGCATTACTCACAGTGGTTTGTTTCATTATTCAGATAACTTTCTGTAAAATGGTGGGTAGATAAGTTAAGCTGTTATACATTAAAACAGAAACTGAAAACCTAAAACTCTCCTTGCCCGACAGTCTTGCCCTGGAAGCAGCAGTCTGTGTTGCATGTCAGAAGTGTAAAAACCTGTCAGGGATTCTTGCTCTCAGCATATGTGGGAGGTGAAATCACAGAAGCCAATTACTTTTCTTCTGTTTTCCTTGCTCTTTTTTTTCCATACCTCTTCCCTCCCCCCATTCTTTGCAAAGATAGGAACAAGCTAGAACCAGACAGACTGCAGTGAGGGCTCCAGCTCACATGCTGGCTGTGCTAAAGCTATGATACAGTGTTGAATCTGAAATGGGCTTTGTTTTGTCTTCCTGCTACAGATCGGGCAGATGCATAGAACTAGGAGAGGTGGTAAAACTGGAAGGACATTAATAATATTTCTAGCCACGTTCATATAAGCACGGATGTTTGGACTCGATGATCTCTTGAGGTTCCTTCCAATTCCTGTGATTCTGTGATCTCTCTCTAGAAAAACAAACCAAACCCATCAAACACATGCATTGAACTCCAGATGAGCTAAGAATGGTGACTGTTCTCAAGAGGCCACGTGTTTACAAGAATCTAGGTAAGATTTGGGTTGAAATTACAGTTAATACGGATTTAGTGCAAAGTGCTCTCCTTTCAATTAGGTGGGTTTCTACAACATACGATAAACATAAAAGTCAAAGCTTTACTCTGTAGTTTTGACTCTCACAAACCATCCATCCAATGCACTGACACTTCAATCAGGGAGATTCAAGAAAAAGGGCATCACATTCCCAGAGCATCTTTGGGAAGCTATTGGGGTATTTCAGCCAAAAAATAGGTTTTGCTCTGCACTTAACTCAGAAATTAACTTCAGTTACACAGAGCCAATACTCATACACTTAAAAATAAGAGACACTTCAGTCTACACACAAGGTTTTAAAAGAAACTTCATGACTTTTCACAATATGAATTAGTTGATTTCAGAACCCCTAACTTCGGAATCCTTTACTACCTCTGGGAACTAACTGCATTAATAAAGTCCTTCATTAAATAGTCAAGACAACAGTCATACTAAACCTAGAGCTCCGTAATAGCGTGAAGAATGTAGTAACATTTAACAGGATTAATTCCTTAATACGTTGTCATGGCTAACATTTATTTTGGAAATAATTTAAATAAAACTTATGATATTTATGATTCACTAAATTTGCTGTAAGTTCTCTGTGCAGGACCAGCAAATAGATTACTCAACAGTTACATACAAATATGTTTGGATAAGTGACAGTACTCAAGGATGTATTATAAGACTTTATTCTAACCACTCATGCACAGAAACTCATTTCTAAATAGTTTCAGTGAATATTAAGATGTTGCTGATATACAACACTGCAGATGTGGATTAAACACTTCCAGGCCCTAAACACAGTTGGCTACATCCAGATGTTCTGTGAGATCCCTGTAATTTCCTCAACTCATCTCTACTGTGAGAAGTACCTGCGCTGTTTAGATCAGAACCACTAGTCATGAGCTTCTGCCTTGTTGAAAGAACAGAGATGATCACACAACATGCATTTGAGACTATCACAGACCACTGTTCGGGTTTCATTAAATTCATGAGATTTTGTTTAAAATACCTGATGTCCAGCTTTTACTCTTATTTCTAAATAATCTTTTACTCTATGTCACTCAAAAGAAAAAAAAAAAACAAAAACGTTTGCCAGAGCAGGCATCACCACCAACTCACTGATTAACAAGACTTTCTCTCTTCCAGGGATACAGAAGAGGCTGTAGCCAATTCCATGACAAGCCCTCAGGCAGAAAAGCAGTGCTCCCCAATACTCGCATTCAGTGTTTTTTGCATTCCAAAGAACTAATGGTCTTTCACACGCATCTTAAATCTCCATCTGGGAAATGCAGGACTAATTTCAAACTCTTCTTGCTTCTGCACTGAAGGGTATTTTGTTCACCTCTCACCTTACACCTCAAAAGGTATATAATTGCCTATAATTGCCAGAGAAAAGGTGTATAATAATGCATGAGCAACTTGATACTCCTACTGGCATTCTAGATAAAGATTAGGGTTATCAAAATTGCTTACTTTACAATGCAGAGTTTATTTTCTGCTCTCAGCAGTTTATCGGAATTTTTATTACTGCAACGCTGAGAACCTGCTTTCCCAGTACAAGCTCCAGAAGAAATAAAGAAGAACCACTTAAAGAGGAGATCACACGGACAAAGGAACTTGAAATTACACTGATCACATGCATATTCTTCTCATTTTGTCTTCTGGAAGAATTCAATTTACTCCTTTCAGTTCAGACAAACGTCAGAGAAAAGATGAAAGGCATGAAGACAAACAGCATCAGCACAGCTCATTCACTGGTTAACACTCTCACCAGGTGCATCAGTATCAAGCAGGATACTCACAAGGAGACAGGCAGAACAGATTGCTCAGCATTTGCAGCAGTGGAGAGAATAAAAGCATCTGATGAAATACTGTGTTGTAGGAACAGAATAACACAGAAGAGCTAGATCAGCACTTCACTGCAGAAGTACTCACATGTCCTGCTGCCCTAGAACCTGCAGTCATCATGCTACAGGGATTTTCCTGTATATATTATCACCAGATTAAATGGACAACATGCTCTTTATAGTGTCAGTGAGAAAAGAGTACAAAGTAAAGCAGCAACTCTTATTCATAGACAGGAACACAGGAAATGCAGAGCAGAGAGTGCGCATACAGATACGTACCAGAGAAGGAGCTGAACAAGGCAGGAACAAGTGGATCCATCCAAGCAGTTTGGTAAGACTTGGACACTGAATAGAAGATGAACAAAGGACAACTGAGAAGTGCTACCAAGGCTAAGATCTAAGCCCAGAAATTTGGCAATACAGCAAAGTACACAAAAAGTATGCTGTGCAGGCAAACTCTGTGCTAAGTTAATGCATGAATGCATACAACAATAAGAAGATGACAAAAACAGATTTCACAAGGGACAACAAAACAAAGCACCTACACAAGTTTCAGAAATGCATATCCACCACTGTTAGCTATCTAAGGCTTATAATTCAACACACTGCAACTATAAAAATGCTAGGACTATTCTTATCGCTGCTTTCACTCAAAGACAGTTAACACAATGTCACAGTATCAAAGTGTTCACTACAAATAACAAAAATATCCGTAAATTTATATTAATCAACACAATGCTTTAACAAAGACAAAAAAGTACAAACAGTACAAATTATGGTGGATTTTTAAGATAAGTCTCCATTAGAATATGGCAGAATATGTCAAAAATAGAACTACCTAAGCTGTCAATGTTTGACTACAATAAAAATCATGAAAAACTGTAACAGACTACCAGACACTATAACCTTTAGCAGGGCAAAAAAACTGGAAGGTATTCTCTTCCAAACTACGAAACAGAAAGCAAACCTTTTAATACGTGCAAAGGAACATTTTTCCCTTCTCTTCCACTCACAAATAGAATAGAATAGTAGCTGTACCGTTGTAAACTTCTTAAGACTCAAGAATGTACGGTAGGGCCCATGTCCCAAATCATCAAAAAGTACCCGCAAGGTGTGCAGGCCTACTAAGATCAAAAGTTCTTGCTGTGGCAAAAAAAAAAGAGATAAATCTCACTGGAAGGAAATTGGAGGTCAAATATACATATTTAACTGTGAAAGATGTTCTGGAATTTTTAGTGCCCCATCCCTGCAGGCATTCAAGGCCAGGCTGGATGTGGCTCTGGGCAGCCTGGTCTGGTGGTTGGCGACCTTGCACATAGCAAGGAGGTTGAAACTAGATGATCACTGTGGTCCTTTTCAACCCAAGCCATTCTATCATTCTATGATTTTCCCCACAATAACAGCTCAAGAGACAGAGCTACACTTTTCCAAGATGGAAGTAAAGCTAAAGAATCAAATATGCACAGCTGATTGTACCTTGAATATCCACATCTGATTCAAAGCAAAGAGCATCTCAGGTACAAACTTTATTGTACAAATAAGGTAATCCCCAGATTCTCCAATCAGCCACTTAAGTGAAAATACCAGAAACAGTCCAATTAGAATCAAAAACAGCAAAAACAGACAAGCACATATCTTTCACTGATTCTTAGTTTTCATTCTCTTCACCCCAGTGATGGCAGGCTGATAGAAGGAAATATACATCCACCCCATAGTCTTTCAATACAAGTAAATACAAAAAAAATCAAGTGTTTATTGGAAATCTGCATGAAGGCACAGATGAGCTTGATTACAGACACATTGTAACAATTACAAATATATGTAAACACGTTGAGATATACAACAAAGCAGTAATACAGCTAATACAGGAATAAAATGTAATCTGTTAAAAAAAACAACAACAAACTTTTGTATCTGAGGTTCTTTCAGTTATAAGATCTGATTCACACCAACACAGTGTAATGTTTTTAAGTCACCACTTGGATTCACACTCAACAAATCTGCACTTTGACTGTTGTTATTAACTGATGTATTTATAAACTGGATCCAAATTTGAACAGGTTTCCTTCCCTAGGAGCAGGAAAACAAAGGAATAACCAACTAGACACGCATCCAACCTAGAATAAGGCTTCAGAGATCCCTAAACACGTAAGAGCAATCACTGATGTACTGAAATTAAATATAAGCTTCAGAAAAGCTCAAGGACGTTAGTTCCACTTTTACTTGCATTTGAGGAAATTGCTGAATTTCTGCAGGAAAGGAACAGTCTACATCTGTCAGGTGATTTTTTTCTTCCTCCACAGGAGGCTTAGATTTCATCTGAAACACCTGCCAAAACAAAAGTCAGCAATCACAAACTAAAGTGCCTTGGACAGCTTAGGCTTTACCACTAGAACAAAATGCCTTTGTTTACAGATACAACATTAATTCATATAGTGAGAAAACTCACCTTTGCAAGTAGAACACTACTTCCAATATTTCTGTGGAAAGGGGAATCACTTTTTTTTTTTTTTTTTTTTTTAATTAGATACCAGCACCAAGAACTTAAAAAAGAAACAACTGCAACACAGCTCTTTGAAAAATGTTGTGGTTCAGGCCTAGCCAAAGAGTACTCTGAGCAGCAACTTACTACAGGAACACGCAGTTTTCTCAACCTCAACCATCTGGCCAACTCTCCACTCCCCATCTACAAAAGCTTTATAACCTTTGGAGCCCAGCTGCAGTGAAGAAAGACTCCTGTCTGGGTAATATATGCTGAAAAAAAACCTAGCATAGCTACATTTCTACTGACTCTGCAGCCACATCATCCCAACGTAAAGATGAGGTAGTACTTTTCTTTGGAGCCCAACTAGTTGAACAGGAAAGGAACAAAAATTATTCTCCCTACTGTAGCAGCTGTCTGTTAATGCAGCACCAAATCTCTGCATTTTCCCCCTCTTCTTCAGGGCACATTACTAATGCAAGCACAGCAATAGCTTCTAAAAAGCGAAATCATATTATGAGCATACAATCCCACCTGAACTAAGACTGAATCATAAAGGCCACATTATGGCACACTGAGTGGCTTTCTCCAATCCACAAAATGGCAATGTCTCTTAACCTCTATTTGTACTGGGACTAATGATTTTTATCCAAAGAGCATACGAAAGATCCTGAGTACTTATTACAGTGAAACGCAGACTAAAAAAAATACAGAAAAATAAAAATTAACAAATCTACTTCAAATCCAAAAAAGATTGGGAGAGAAATTCACCTCATTTGAAGAACTGAGGAAACCAGATTGTCTCTATGAATACAGTTCATTTGGAACTTATGGGCCTTGTTTTCCCTCCCTTGAAGAAGGCAGTTCCTTCCTCTTAAGGGAGGTTGCTGCAACGTACACACGTATCAAGATTTCATAGCTTACACTAATAAGCCTTCTGTTTCTTTATGAGATGGCTTGAACTGGAGAAATATGCTCTGCATAGTTCATACTCTGTAGACTCCCACAGATCAAAAAGAAGCCAATTGCTATGACTAAAACAAAGGAAACACTGGAAAAAAATGGAATAGGATTAGAACTTACACTGCCTGTAAAACTAAACATTAGAGGGGGAAAAAAAAAAAAGAAAAAAACAAACCAAACCAAACCGCTGTAAGACTTTAAAGAGGTCCCTGGATGCATCCTCTTAGTAAGCAATAACTAATATTGAGAATGAAAGACTGTGACCTTTGCCAGCCAAAACCAGCCAAGGCTCCATGGTCAGCTTCCATATTTAACAAAATATATGCAGTCTAAATTGTTTCCTGTTAACAGTGCAGCTTGCACAGATTCCAGGAAATTCCAACATTTTCGTTGCTTCCAAGACTGTACTTTTCATTCAGTTGAAGTGCACTGAAGTTCCACTCAGACAGATGGATTCATGAACCTGATTTTAACAGGACAAGGAGTCCTGTTTAGCTCTGGTACAGCAAGACAGACGTGACTGTCTTTGAACGTTACTTTCTTGGGAATCAGTGATAATCCTTTTTGACCTTGGGAATATGCTCTTAGAGGAGTAGATATAATTAAAACAATCTTATCTGGCTTTTAGCTGGAAGACTATCTCCGAACAATCCCATCTCTTCTTCCAAAGAACTCCTCTGGAACAAATTCTGGATAAAATGAACTCAATGCTCTACAGAGATCAGCTGCATTCCAGTGTCGAAACCAGATCCCTTGAGAGAAAAAGTAAAAAAGAAAGCTGTTTGGTTGTCAGAGAAGTAAGTACTGCTGAAACAGCCACAAGATTTATTTATTTATTTTAAACCTTCAGCTATAAACAGGCACACTCACAAAATGTTCATCATGGCTAAAAGTTGCTCCTGTGACCTTGCACAACTCGCGATGATGCATCGTGTAACCCACAGGCATCATAAATGATGACAACAGCAGAAACCTACCCGGATGCTTCTCAGATAAAATAAAGAAGCTAAGCCAGACCTCTCTGTCAGAGGAGTTTCTCTAGCCTATGGAAGATTCTCACAAAATCACCACTGCAGAATGATAATTCATTATTATAATTCACAAGAAAACTGAAAATCCATTTACATTTATTAGGACATGGTTGTGCACAATTCCTTATCTTCTTCAAAAAGACTACAAATAGAGCTTAACACTTCTGATTGCAAGCACAAGTTTGTTCAACGTTCTTAATTAGGTAAGGCCAATTTAGTGGCTTGTTACATTTTCAGGATTTAGTATACATTTGGCAGTTCTTTACTTTCATCTGGTAACAGTCCCATTGGAATAATACGGAGAGTTCACTAAGACACTTCATAACAGCAGCTGAATTGAGTTACACAAATTCAGTTTTGGAATATGCATCAAATGTTATTCGAGGCAAATTTCTATTTTAAGGTCCTTATACAACATTATCAAAGGCCTTCCCCCACCCCCAGCATTTATACTAGTACTACTATTGGCTCGTACTCCATAGAGCCTTACGGCCAAAAATCTCAAAGCACTTCAGAAAGGAGGACACCATTTTCAACAGTGATATGATCAAGCTGGAATCCTGCTTATAAAAGAATATATATTTTTTATTTCTCTTCAGCTTACAAAACCAATCCTACCTATCTTGACCTTAGTCTCACCTCTGACTGCCTGTCATCTTCTCACATGCAATCCTACCACTGATTCAGGAGCTGCGTTTAATGGTAATGCTCACAGCTGTATTTCCTCTGTGGAAAAATGAGCACCTGCCATGGGCAGTTATTTTCAGATGGAAGCACTGGTCGAATTGTAGATCTGCCACAATCTTGAGTATCACTTTATCAGAAAGTCACTGTCATAACTAAAGTAATTTGATAATGCACTTGATCCCATACTGGTTTAACAAGTGTAATAGGCTAGGTATGCATTTCTCTAAATTCTCTATGAGCCGAAACTACATAGATAGAATGAATAAATTCTAGTTTTGCCATAAGCTGAACCTTTCACAACACTGTTTTAACTTACTACTTTGATTTAGAGCACTGATTTTATGAAGATATTCAACCTTCAACTCTTACTGAATAGTTGAGCGGCAAACATGGAAAATACATGTACAAGTCTTACTATACTACCAAAATGCTGTACTTCCTTCTTAAAAGTGTCCTTAATAAAGCATAGGCATGTCAAACAAATTTTTGTAAACAAAAGATAAATTACTCATGTTCTGCTCTGATTATAGCCAGATACATATTCTCATAAAATAAACATTCTCTTGTCATTTTCCATGGCCCACATATAGATGAGGTAAACCACTTGAAATCATCAATAATATATAAACCTCAGTACTCAACAGGAACCTCAGGAAAAATAAAACTGAGCAAGATGTCAATACCAAGAAGTGACACTTTGTTCCACTGCAAAGTGAAACCAAACAATTTATTTGTGCTAAATGAATGCAAAGAATGTATTTGAAACATATTTCTTTATACATTGTACCGGCTTAGGCTGCTAAATAAGCATTCATTAGTGCCATGTTGTGCTACTTTCTTGTACTCTGTTTCTATCAAGTAATACAACATTTTTGGCTGTTATGCCAATATATTCCTATATGCTCATTGTACATCTTGTTATCTAACAGACTTGAACATTTCAAATACTTGTTCAATCTTTGTTTTAGGGAAATCACAATTAATATATTTTAACAAGGAAAAAATAATCAGCTGTTTTCTACAATCATGTTGCCTTCTGCAGCAAAAAAATCAAAGAGCACACTTCAATCAGCTATCAGTAACCTGTGGGCAGGACCACACTTAGAGCTCTAAGTTAACTGCGACAGATCACACCGTATGGACA